ATCAATTTATAGGAGCAAAGAAGAACTGGAAATAAAGAAGAAAACATTGGCTGACCCATTAACAGAAATGAAGAAGGTCGAGGAGATGTTCAAACACAATAAGGAAGTAAAAAGGCAGAGCGAAGCAGCTGAACTTCAACGAGCCAGTGCTTGCATTCATGCTATGCCAACCTTATTTCCTGATGACATAATGGTACCAAAGTGCCCATACAAAGAGGTTTGTTTAGGTTTAGTTCTACTTTGCTGTTTCTAAGTTTTATACTTATGCAACTGGTGGGTTTATTTATATGATGTCATTTTGCTGTCAGCAGGGACTGGAAACTATCATCACGGAGTAGGAAGTTGCTTTTAGTCATTGGTATTTATCTAAAAATTGGAAGACGATTGAGAGCATCGCTTCATTGATTACAGAAGCTCACTGTGCTCTGTATTGAAATCGATAACTGGTCCGCGTATACTTCATAATTTGATAACTTAAATTTCAGTAGCGGTAATTTTTAGCAAGTGGTCAGTTAATCTAAGTATTCAACCACTGGATCGCTTGAGGTACTTCGGTTTTAGAAGCTAAGTAGTATATCAAACCACAGCAAAAGTGACTCGAAATAAAGTAGAAAACTCAGGGCTTGGTCAACTAAGTCATCATTTGCAATAGTTGTTAAGTAAAACACTAAAACCCTGAACATTATTCATTTATTTACTTGAACACATAAATATTGGTACAAGAGGGCACAAAATATATATGCGCCACACTTAACAACGAGAATTCGAAGAGAAAGAAAAAAAAGAATAGTAAAGAATAAATTAGTGTAAGGTGGTGTAATAATAATAATAATGACGGAAACAGAAAGGTACAGATAAAGAACTATTTCAGTTAGAGAAGTTACAGTCACGTTTTATGAAGTAAAAAAAGGTTACAGCAGGATCGCCACTGGCTTCTATTCTGAGCCATATCTGATAACTTCTCTACTCACTGTTGCACCATCTAGAACCCCAGTCAGGGAGTCGTGAAGAACCGACAGAAGCCAGCCCTTCGCAGCTTTCTTTCATACCACAACACCATGTCATACACTGACCACCTATCCGCTTTTTCCAACCAGTTCCAGAGTCGGCAAATAATGCATGACGTGGAATTCTCTGGGACCACATTCGTAGAGCATGTCCAAGACACCAAAGTCGGTGTTTCAAGATGGTGACACCAATTGCATTATCGTCTCTGCGCCCGAACACACGATGCCGAAGCTCCGCATTACTAAAATGGTGTTGAAACTGGATGTCAGCAATACTTCGGAGACAGCGATGGTCGAACACAGAGAGTCGTCTAACATCCTCTACTCGGAGAGGCTAGGTTTCACAAGCATAGAGTAAAACTGCTCTCACCGACGCGTTGTAGATCCGACCTTTTACAACCAGACTGACATCACGAAGGTGCCAAAGATGGCCCAGATTGGCATAAGCCGCTCTGGTTTTCACTATACGTGCATTGATCTCATCAGTCAGGTCACCACCAGCTACCTAGATACACGAACTTCTCAACTACTTCTATCTGCTCATCATCCAGGGTGAGTACAGGACTAGAATCCTGCCAGTTTTGTCGACGTACCTTGCATTCGAAGGTGCAAAGTACATACCATACCTACGAACATTGATTGCCAACTGATTAATTGTGGATTGCATGACGTGGGCATTATCGCACAGTAAGACAATATCATCCGCATACTCAAGGTTGAGACGTTTTTCTCCAGGCAACAGATCCACACCGCTATTACTTACATCCATCAGAGCTGTTTCCAGAATGTGATCGATGGCAAAGTTGAAGAGGAATGGTGAAATTGGGCAACCCTGCCTAACCCCACTGCTTGAATGGAACAATAGAGAGAGATGGTTTTATGTGCCCTCACTCTGCCTGAGGTATCTGTATATGGGGCCTTTAAGATGTTAACAAACTTCTCAGGCACACCCTTCTTCACTAGACAATCCCATGAAACAGTGCTGTTGAACGAATCGAAGGCAGCCCTGACGTCAAAAAACGCTACGATTGTTGGCCTTTGATAAGTATGGCGGTGTTCTAACATTTGGTGGAGGGTGAAGATGTGATCAATACATCCTCGACAAGAACGAAGACCAGCCTACTCTTCGCGAGCCAATCATTTTCGGGGTTTTGTACAACCTGCGAAGTATGACAGAAGCTGATAGTTTGGACGCAACCGGAAGTAGACTTATACCCCGATAGTTGTTACAGGAACGACGTGGATGAAACGACAATACTTATGGAAAATACTATACTTGCTGCACATAACAATAATTTTTCAAAGTAAACGAGTCAGAAATAAAGCACAAAACAACCGCAGACACCCATGCAATTTGCAAATCATTCAAGTGTCAATGATGCATGGGGTTTAGTACAGTTCTTATGTATTGGTGCGGAAAGTTTGAGCCTCTCTCGAAGAAATTCCTGGATATTTTCATGGCGATAATATCGTTTATTCAAAATTTAAAGAGAAAAGATCAGTTTGATTAGGTCCCACTTCACTATTTTAGCAAACACTGTTGGTCCGCGCCGGTTTTGTAGTGCATACTAATAGTTATTGCATTTTTTCTTACTGGCGTATTGCAATGGATGTTTGCGTAATTTAAAACTTGTATAACTATGGGATTCGTCCCAAAAAAGATTTTCGATGGTATCTTTATTTCTTAACATACATACAGTTCGATTATGAATATCGCGCATATTTGTGGTGCTAATATTATTTACGCTATGATCAATATTTGTAATGGTGTGTTGCTATAGTAAAACTTTTCTTTCGTATAGGCTTCGAAAAGTCGACGAACAGGTAATAGGTATACTCAATCACTTACTGAAACTTCATGTAATTCATTTGGGGAGCTAGCGAAAGATTTATCTACGGGGGTTTCTCTGAATCCCGAAAGTATGGATAAAAAATCAGAATTGATTGAAATGGCCAAGCGTTCAGATATTAATCGTCTTCGGGCTGAAAGACTGCAACGAGAACGAAAGGAAAGAGATAGGGCAGCAGTTTTACTGGCTAAATCTTTTGGTTTAGATGCTTTAAAACCTCCAGATCAAGAACAAGCGTATGTAGACGAACGAAGTTTGCCCTTTAATTCTGCATTTAATCCTGAACTGTCAGCCATCCTAGCTGAACGACGTCAACGACATCGTGAGTCGAGAAAGCGGAGTTACAAAGAGGTGAATTAAATCTTTGCAAATGGCGATTTCGCAAACTGTACATATTGTGTATTTTTTTCATTTTCACAAATGATCTGAAAACTATTGGGATATGTTATGTGTAAGTAGTTCGAGTCGTTTGGCCAAAGCCTTTAGTTATCGTTTTTGATTGTCTCCAAAATATAAATACCCTTTATTTGTGGTTTTCATGTTTTATGAAATTATTAGGGCGGAAACAAGTATAAACAAACTATAGTCAGGTGATTCTAGTGCAGCTTGTTATTCTATAATAAACTAACAAGTACATATACAATGCTGGTAAACATCTCAAATAAAATACTTATGTATGAGTAGTCATGGTTTTCTTTGGTCAGCAAGGGAAAGTGTAAGCCGTCTTGAGATTAGGTGGAAATTAAAAAGTGAAGGGGAACTTGACTGTACATAGTTCTATCATTATGATTTACGAAATAATTAATTTGCTGTTAAGCAATTATTATTCGCACCTAGTGACAATGTCAAATGCATATTGAGTGCCAATTAACTATCAAAGTTATGATCAATGGGATTTGTTATTGTCCGACATGTTTCGACGAGCAAGCGGCTTACGGCCTCACTCAAGTGGAGGAGATAGTCTACTAAGGTTTACTTTATAATTGCTTTCCTAGTTTTAGACGCTAAGTTATGCCTTTACTTGTAAAACTAGAAACAGTTTTTTACAAGTCCTCAGATATCTAAATAATGAGCCGTGCCTACCATTTTTAGGCTTAATCGTTACTTGGAAATAGATCATCTTTAATGATGATGATTTATGCTGTCCCTTTTCTCGTGTACGGTAAACACTACGATTTCACTACCAGACGTTAGATTTGCAGCTTTCTATCAAAAAGCTGCTGGTATTGTTAAGTTAGGATTTGACCCCAAACACGTTAAGTCAGTGAGAAGCATAATTTTGTCATCGCGCGGATGTACTCAAATCAAGGCAGAAAAAGTAAGGAGTGTTACTATTGCTTGATTTGATTGAATTCACACTTAGATATACAATAATGAAGACAATAGTGCCATGAGGTATATGTGCAACTAGTGTTTACAATGTTCAAGCGTGAGTTGTGTAAGACCCTACTCGGTTTTTCGGATGGGAACTTGTAGCATTAAGACTTCTGATAAGACAGTAGAGTAGTATTGTAAGGAATATGTATTGATGGGTATCCCAAGAGAATCTGACCACATCCAAGTCTACTTAATTACACGTCAATTAATCCAGTGATCCATTCCAAAAATTTAACTGATTGAGTAATCACCAGTTTGCACAGAACAGGAGTAAATTTATGAATACAATGAAAGTGCCTTAAAATCATTTAACTAACTACACATTCAATAAAGCGATGCAAATGAATGCACTTTGAAAGTCAAGAAACGGATTTGACTTTTTCCTAAATATAGTGTTCGGAGATTTAGTATCTGCAGGATTAAGTTGAACAGTATGGTTAAAATGATAGGAGGCGGTTTTTAAATTTTAGAAAGGGATAGTGTAGATTATTCACAATGAAGTAAGCTTTCTTTTATTTTGTGGTTCTCTGTCTTGCTGAAAGATGTCCAAAACTAGGTTAATTTAACTCAGTTTGGTTACACACTATTAGTTCGTCATATTAAATCTTCAAATTAAATAACTAGAAGTATGTTCACGCTGAACTACAAGAACTTTACAATGTGGCGAAAATCTAGTCAGGATATAAATTTCCTTATAATCGGACAATGATAATAGATATAAACAAGTTTAGTAATGTTTAATTGAAACATGTTAGAATAGCGTAAATGCGGTATAGTTGATATACACAAGAAGGTAAGTATTCGTAACCAAATAAATCTTCAAGTGGGTAATACTTAAAAGCATGAAGGCCGAAAAATAAAAACTATGAGGATGAAGGCGTTTAACTAAATGTTAGTGAAACAATTCGAGATGTTCACTTACGGCAACCAACCTTTGCACTTAAAGTAATTGCAATTGTTATAGTTCTAGAGGTGAAATACTTGATAAGTTGATATGTACTTCAACTAAACACAATTGACCTAAACCAGTTTATATTATAGAAAATCAACTTGGGTTAGGAATAAAAAAGTTTACACAAAACGGAATATTAAAAGTACAAATATTGGAACGGAACTGTACGGTTAGTGAAGTCGTCGAACGAATGATAAACAACTAACCAAACAGATACTGTAAGAAGATTATTCCACATGTACTTGGAAGTTTAGGAAAACGGAACATTGTCTCAAACTATATACACTTTTAAGGTGCAATATGCTACAATTTCTTTAAAAAGCTTAAACAGTCATCAGGGATATCAACACCTTGGATAATGCTATCTACTGGAAATATTTGTTCAATTATAGAAGTCAAACATTTGCTCAGTTGGAACATTGTAGGTCGAATCATGGGATTTACAGCCCAACCACTGAAAAAAGAGAAGGGTCAAAAATAAGAAAACTTAGTTCCGAAATAACCTAGTTCGATATCTTATCATGACGAGTAAACTATATTAAGTGAAAACATAAATAGCAAACGATGTTTCAAATAATTGTAGCCCCAATGTGGCTTCTTTCATTGCACGCGCTTGAGCGAAACGTCATTTATGTAGGTTTCTGTAAAGGCATCAACTTGGCGAGGAATGCGGCGAAAGCAGATTGATTCTCTAAATGTCGTGTCTTTAATATTTAAGAACGCAGTGAACATTTTACCTTTTTCTAGGCGATGTTTTGATTACCACTAACATGGCTAAGTGTAGCTTTATAAACAGTTTACCAAGTAAAGTTTATCAACTCAGCTCTGAGCCACACTATTATCAAGTGCTTCAACAATCAGGTAGCTTGTGTGGAAGGTATGCACAATATACCTTAGTTATCAAAAGTTTGCCAAGTTGTTAAATGAACAAAAATAGCTAAATCGGTATCACAGAACAGTGACTGTTACTAGTAATTTGTAACTACATCCCATCAACTAGTTCCTGAATCATATGTATTGACATGATCGTTCTTAATTAGAAACTAAAATATCTAGTAGACAAACAGTACTCGCTTTCGAAATAACGGGGCGAGTAGTGTGAAAGTATAACTTTTGGGACTATCGTACGGAGGATTATTACTTACACTTTTATTGTATACTTAGTGAACGTTTGGATTTTTGTGTTCTTATATTTGCCTATTTCTAAACTTTACGTTGATCTATAAATCGTTGCTATGTCTTATTGTTCATCAATGAATTATTTCCCTAGCACTACGGTTTTGTAACACTTATGACTAAGCTATGTATACGTCGTAGTTTTCTGCTTCTGTGAGGTCAGTCATTTTAGGTATATTATTGTGAGTTTTGAGTCTAGATTGAATACAATACAGTAGCTAATTATATATTTTCGGTCTTCATTTTATCAGACACTGGGTTAAAGTAAGCGTTAAGGTCTTGGTTCTTGTGTATCAGTGTGTGTGATATGAAAAACTAGAGGTCATCAGCCCAACGGGGGATTACAGACGAACCAATCAATATTCGAACTAGAAAATACAACGGCGCGATCATACACAGTAATTTGTTTTGTTCGGCGTCGCATTAACTTTTTCCAGTGAAGTCTGATAATTCTTATATATTTTGTTGCTAAATTACCTAACTCGCCCATACTTCATACTTTAAAATAATTCTGTCAATCGTGACAGACTAAAATCTATTTAATGTGAGAGTTATTATAAGTGATTGTTTTCCCATCCGGGAATAAGAAGGACGACTTACCTCTCAATAATAATGCTTAGTAGTTCAGGACACCCAGCTAATGTAGGTGGTCGCTGAGTAATAGAAGACCAAAACTTGTCTGCTACATCACATCTTTTCAGGATTTTATTTGGGGGTTCACGAGCTAGAAATTCCCAAAATGTAACCGTTAAACTGTAGACATCAGATTTTTCTGAGTACGGTAATTTTTCACCTGGATATATTTGTTGATGAGGTAAAAGCGAAAAAATAAGTGAGGATGAGTAAATGAGAATATATTTATTATTTATTTATTTGAACATATAAATATTGGTACAAAGCGGTACCGAATACATATGCGCCACACAAGTCACTCGATTTGTGTGAGGGCCAAGATGCTGCCCCAGTACCCAAACCGAAGTAGGTGGTTTTCTTAGGGGGCTAAATCCTGAGCCTTCGACCTAAAGGTCTGATCCACAAGGCAGTGGAGCAGCGTCAGGAGATACAGTCCCATGGTAGCCGGTGACCAACAATAGGTTCATACATCATTGTTTTGGAATCAGGGCTTTCCAACTCTTCTAGGTGGACCTTCCATGTCCACCAATCCGGCTAAAGGGCCGGAAATTTGCTTTTCGCCTCCCCTCTGTTTCGTAAACAATACCCCCGTCGCGAAAGGCAGTAGGTAGGACTTCCCTGACAATGGCTGTATACGCGTGACAATGTGAGAGCATTTCAAGAGGGAGAGCTAACTCTTCCCATCCTCGGCCGTACCAGAGCTAGATAGGAACAATAAATGAGGATAGCGATGATTTTACGTGACACAAAAATCCAAGACAAAGATTAAACCAAAAAATAATTTTACTAATTCTGGGTGTATCATGTTGGTTTAAAAAATAATTTAGATGAGGAAATAGTCACTTTCAGTACTACATACACATATATTCGTTTGATGAACCGCACATTAAATTAAAAAAAAGAGTAATCCCGAAATGTTTGTTGGGCGGTTAGAGACAAATTAACAACTAAAATCCCGAAACTATGGAACTCTTCTACTCATTGGGTGGCGAAAAATCCGCCACATACAATAAAGTGTATTGTGATTGGTTTCTGTCACCTATCACAAGTGTGAGTTTATTTAGTATCTTTTTATTTAATAATTAGCGTTTTCTGACTTACAGAAATTTATCCGCATTTTCAAGACAATAAATCTACTGATAAGGGTGAGGGAAGCTTTACATTTTATATAAACTGTTTCTATGTTAACCATATGACTACAGTTAGGATACATTGTATTTGCGTTAGACAATGATATGGTGAATAAATTTACATAGATTAGGGGAAATCAGTAAAATTCATTATTAGTGATAAATGCAGCAAATCATATTTACTTACCACTTCGAACTGTCCATAGTTCTGGGGCCATATAACACAGAGTTCCAAAAACAGAAGGTTCGTCAGACAAAGTAGTTCTAGATGATCCAAAATCACCTAATTTAACTAAACGCAGTCTATCAAAACCTAAAATATTGGAAGGTTTTATATCTGCATGTATAACTGAGGGGGAACATAAACGATGTAAATAGTCTGAAGCCCGACTAATTTGCAATATCCAATTCAAAGTATTAACCAGGTTATAATGAACTCCAGAGAAGTCATACAAAACTAAATAGCAAAATAAAACAATATGATTTTATAAGATTAGTAGTTAAAACAAAATTTCACAGCACAGATTTCGGTGAAGATGTTGACACTTGATGAAGACGCGAAAGAATTCGGAGCGATAGCTTACTAGCAAAAACCCTGACTTTCAACCAATAGACTTCAGGTTTAAGGTCTATCTCATCTACTTCAATTTAAGCAGCTGGATAATAACAATAACCTTCATGTGAACAACGTAGTTTAAAGCCGAGTACATAAACTACTTTTACTTGGTAAATAAGAGTATACAGAATATCTATAAGGTCCACATAGTTTTTGGGACTTATTTCTTTTTCTGTAACATACCCACGAAATTACATTTATGAAATGGAGATTTCATTTGATGTGACAACTACTTTGTTGTCGTTAGGCTGGAATGTATTTACTAAGGGGTTTAAAATGAAACACATGACTACGCTATTTGCCCGGCACTAACCACACATAAAGTTTCAAGAGTCTGCTGAAAAGAGAAACCACACACAAGAGTAGACTTTTAGTAAGTTTTAAATAGTTCAAGTTGTATGAATCACCATTTAATTTACTGAGTGCTTTTTTAACAGAGGCAGCTAATGATGGTCTTGAGATGGGACTAATAGACGTACAGGCTACAACAACTTGACCTAATGTTTTAAGAATCCAAAATTAAATTCTAATCATTGTTGACAAAGGGTGAGTCAATATATATTTGTGAACAAGTTTTAGCCTACGAGCTCCAAGACGTTAACTCAGGCACACATATAGTCCGTATTACACATTACGACGGGTAAAATGAAGTTAGATTACAACGCACTAGTGAGAAACTGCGAAAGGTGTTAACTCAGTAAATTGGGCTTCAGTGCAAATGTTTTAAACTTCGCGTAGTGTTCGGGTGCAAAATAATCCTTACCCTACAATTACGGGATAATTTGACTTAGTCTGTTAAGATTAAACGGAGCCAAATTTTCTGTAGAAACGAACAATGGATTTGAGAGGGTTTGACTCACGTGAATTTGACAATACATAAGAAAGTGCAGAAAGTGGTTTTTCAACTTCCCAAATGTTACAACATGTAACCATAAGTATCATTTAGTAATTCTGTGACTGAGATAATTACATGGCTATGATTAACATTTGGCTGACTAAGTAACCAAGAACATAGTGTGAATGGTAAAGATTTATTTTGACTCAATTAAGGGCTGCATGAGATACGAGGTGGGATTGTAAAACAAAATACAACCGAACCAAATTTGTGCCAGTTATGATCCAGTTTGCAAGACTAATCACTCTGTGCACTTTAAATACAATAGCCTGGCTAAACAGAGCAAACTTTAGTCAGTGGAAATAAATTTAAACTACAACACACTTTTTAAGAATGTAAGGTGCCACGTTCCGCATTAATCGTGTCCGCTATTATGATGTTGTGGTTGATCTTGTTGGTGGCGCTAACACCGAACTACGTTAGGTGGGATACTTGTTCCTTGAGGTGCAAACATGTCAGGGGTAAGACCACAAGCAGCAAATTCAATGTTCGAGGGTGAAGTTTTACTAGCAATTGCACTGGAGTGTATCCCAAGAATAATCAGCATATGTAGTGATACTTCCTTCTTACGATGGAGGAGTTAGAAAAGGTTGATCCTAAAGATATTACGCCTCATTTTGTGTCCCAAATTTCCTGTTCCGGCCGTAAGAGTTAAAAATATGGAGTCAATATATCGAAAGCCAATCACAAATAAGCCTCAAGTAGCCGTCATGCCACCAGGTCAGTTAAGGAACTACTAACCCAGGATCTATTTTCAGGTATCTCATTAATATCGTGAAACTCTGTGTGCCTCAAACAGTGGAGTTTTAATTTTTTGTCGCATATGGATCCTGAAGAATAACTAGGTTACGCAAAAATGCTGTTTGAAGGAGTTTCGAAGTTTTTAGTTGAAGTTTTGTTACAGTTTTATTACGAGTGTCTCCTAGTTTACAAAATTTATCCAAAAATTGTACCGTAAGTTCGGAATTAATCTCAAAAAAGTTACATCTGAACATAAAGTGTTAGGTTTAAAACAGAAATATTCCTGTTTTGGTATAGTAATTACTAAGGCTTTATTTATTAACCTCATATCAAAGTTCAGGAGTGAGGACACTATGATGTTTGAGAAATTCGAGTTATGTTAATAGACCAAAAAGCTAGTCAATCAGTCACTTATAATCAGCGTAAGACCTGGTGCATGAGTGTTACTAGCTAACTTAATTACGCCTGTTACCCCTTCTAGAGAAGCATAGGCCACCCATCAGCACTCTATATCAAACTCTGTCCCGGGCAATCCTTTCCACTCGTTACTCATCCTTTTCACGTCTGCTTCCGACTTCCGACATAGTGTGTTCTTCGGCCTTCCTCTTTTTCGTTTCCCTTCAGTTTATTGATTTTCGTAATGTATGTCCTATCCACTTTCAACGTCTTTTCCTGAATCCATCCTCAACTGGAAGCTGGTTTGTTCTTTCCCATAGTAGGCTGTTGCTGAGGGTTTCCGGACAACGGACATTGAGTATCTTGCATAGACAATTGTTTATAAATACCTGTATCTTTTTGACGATGGTTGTAGTTCTCCACGTTTCAAATTCATACAGTAGGATTGTCTTGATATAAGTATTGAAGATTTTGACTTTGATATCAGTTAACAGTTATTTTGAGTTCTATGTTCTTCAACTGTAGAAATGCTGCACTTGCTACACTAGTTGTCTTCATCAGCATTTGTTCGTGTGTATGGAATAGAAGGGCCAGGTTATCTGCGAGTTCGAAATTTTCTAATTGATTCCGAGCTATCTGTTGTATTCCGTGCTTTCCCTTAAATGTTGAGGTCTTCATAATCCAGTCGACTACCAGAAGAGGAAGGGGGAGAGTAGGCAACCTTGTCTGACGACGGTTCTTACTTGGAATGCATCTGTCAGCTATCCTCCATGCACAACTTTGCATTATAGTCCGTCGTATGAATCCCGGTTAATGTTGACGATCTCTTAGGTACTCAAAGAAGTTTCCATAAAGTCCTCCTATGCATACTGTCAAATGCCCTCTCATAGTCAATGAAGTTGATGTATAGTTACGAGTTCCACTCAACTGATTGTTCAATGACGATACATAGTGTTGTGATTTGGTCTCTGCATGACCGATCCTTACGGAATCCGGCCTGCTAATATCGAAGTTGAGCGTCTACTGAGTCTTTCATCTGCCTCAGCAACACTACGCTGAAAACCTGTGTAAGATGTAATCGATAAACGAACTCACCAATGATAAAGTGAAACGCCCACCACCACATTAACTTTCATTGACCTTGTATGACTATGTCTTGTTTATTCACCAATCACAATTTTATGTTCACTATAAAACAATAATTGCCTTGTTGACTCATTTTTCCTATCCTCTAGACACTGTTCGAAACAGATGAAGTTTATCAAACCAAATAGCTTACTTGTTCTAACTTTAGCTAGACCAAGACTATGTGCTCGACAGTCTAGAGAATATCTTAGTTATGCCTATAGGAAATTGCTTCCTATACTTGGCCTGGTACTGACAGTAGTGTGATGCCTCTGCAGTTCTCGCATTTGCTAAGATCTCCTTTCTTTGGCATCTTTATGGGGTGTCCTTCTTTCCAGTCCATCTGCATTTTTTCTTCCTTCCAAATCTTCTTGAATAGAGGGTAAAGCATGTTTTCAGTTACTCCAATGTCTAACTTCGGTGCTTCAGCTGGTATATTGTCAGGTACCGCTGCTTTCCCGCTCTTGATTTGTCTGGTGGACATCCCGGTTTCTTCGATCGTTGGTGGAGTGACATCTATAGGAAGGTCTATGTGTGCTGCTTCGATGTCCAGTGGATTCAATAGAGCTGATCTATTCAACAGTTCTTTGAAGCATTCTACTCATCTTTTTCTTTGCTCTTGAATCTCAGTGATTGTGTTGCCTTCTTTGTCCTTCACTGGCCTCTCTTGTTTACTATATTTCCCTGCTAGTTTCTTCGTTGTGTCATATAACTGTCTCATATTTCCTTCTCTTGCAGCTTTTCCCACTCTTTCACGCATTTCCGCTTGTCGGCTCTAATGCTCTTCTGCATTTGCTTGTTTGCCTCAGTGTATTCAGCTCGTGTCTAGAATTTCTCTGCTCTTGTTCGGCTGTTGTCAATAGCTGTTTTTTGTTCTTTCTTTCTTGAGTCTTGATCACGGTTTCGGTAGAGATCTATTCCTTATGATGCTTCTTGAGGTCCAGAACCTCGTGAAACGTTGACGTTAGTACTTCTTGGATCCCTTTCCAGTTGTCCTCTATAGTGATTTCTCCTTCTTTCAGTAGATCTTGTAAGGCTTGCAACCTGTTGTTGAGGGCTATATTGAATTCGTTTCGTTATTATCCCGAAGGAAGGCTGTATTGAACCTTTGTAATACTGTTTCCCCAGTTGTCCAGTGTTTCTTCAGCTTCAGTTTAATCTTGGTCACAAACAGGTGATGATCTGAAGCTATGTCAGATCATCTCTTGATTCTAACATCTTCTATTGTCCTTATGAATTTTTTAATGATACAAACATGATCTATTTGGTTCTCCGTGGTGTGATCCGGTGAGACCCATGTAACCTTGTGCGTGAGTTTGTGTGGGAGTATTGTGCTGCTTATAACCAATTTGTTGAGTGCACATAGATTTGTAAATCTCTCCCCATTTTCATTTCTGTCTTCCAGTTCATTCCGTCCCATAAGGTCTCCCATCAGGATGGTGAGATCATTTCTGATTATGATTGATCGCAGCCTGTAATAGAACTGATTTTTATTGTCGTTGTTGCTATCATTGGTGGGTGCACAACACTGGATAACATTCATGGTGATTACCTCCTTCTTTGTTTTGAAGGATGCTTTGATGATACTGGATCCGTGAGATTCCCATCCTATAAGTGCATTTTGTGCTTCTTTGGACAAAGTCAGAGCAACTCCCTGAGTATGAGGAGCATACTTTTCTTTACGACTGGAGTACAGCAGCACCTCTCCGGAAGCTAGTCTTTTCTGTCCAGCTTGGGTTCAATGGGTTTTGCTGATTCCAAGCACTGCCGATTCGTATGTTCTCATTTCCGTTGTTATTTGACTGGTCCTCCTGGTCTCCCACATTGTCTGGACGTTCTATATACCTATAAAAATTGTTGCTCTAGATGTTAGAAGGGTCACCAGCCTCGTGACTTCCGAATAATTTTAGCTTTCATCATAAGGCGTCGTAGTTCTTCCTTCAACTTCCAAGGCAGAGGTTAAGTGGTTTAATTTGTTTAATCCAGTTGGCATTTTCTAGCAAGATTTTTTCTACGGGATGGGGTTGCCGACCCCATGCCCAACCCTCCTCCTTTACCCGGGCTTGGGACTGGTAGTAACTCTAGGAGAGCTACACGCAGAGTGGGTCAATTCAATTCGCTACACACAAGATGTATAGCAAAATGAAATTTCCAAGGTAAACTCCAAAGTAGTAGATGTAGTAACAGTATAAGTGGTAATAAAAGATATTGAGCATAGATGTGATTTAAGGGAAAAATCTGGATAAGTAGGATAAAAAGGGTATATTTATCAACCTATGAGAGTTATTTGACTTGTGTGTGCACTCAGATACCTGGCAAAACTACGTAATTATGAACTGTATACTCATACGATGATAGGTCGAAGAAACATTAAAGGAATTCAACTAAGGATCAGAAACGTTTTTTATTAATGTTATATGAGTAGATGATCTAAATAAGGATGAAAAATAAATACGAGGACCCATTTATCAAAAAGAAATAAAGCACGACTATAGGCCATGAACTATCATCAGCAACTGGTATTGTTAAAAATGATCTGTATGGTTTCAAAACTTTTTACACCAAATGCTGATTAGTTATTTGATCGACTTGAGGCACCTTTCATTTGTATTCAGTTTATTTATTCAAACACAAGCAGTAAGTAGGACTTCCCTGACAATGTGAGAGCATATCAAGAGGGAGAGCTAACTCTTCCCATCTTCGGCGGTACCAGGGCATTTGAGTTTGTATTTAGTAGGACCTCTGTGAAAGTGATACCTTGGTGGAGTAAAGTTTCAGGAAATAAAAATAGATCAGCTCTTGGTCATAAGCTCACACAAACTAAAATAATTACATGCAGAACCACAGACCGCGAAATGTGATATCAGTAGAAGTACACGTGAAATCTAAGAAATTCCTAGGTAGTTGAGTAAATATAATCCACGAATCCGTAAAGGCAATGACTGAATATGAGAGAAACAGAGATGCGTATGGTTGTTACTTGCAGTCCTTTGGAAATTTCATTTCGATGTATAAACTTCTAGATGACACACGTATGATCTCACTCTACAGGAGAAGCTGGACTATTTACCCAATTCTTGTCTAAACATATTTGACCTATTAATTGCTTGTTCTGAATTCCACCAGTGTCTTAATTCTTTATCTTTTCTGTTTGCAAGTAAATCTTTTTGTGCTTACACGACAAGTCCGGTTGAAATGATGACTAAGATAACAAGTGGTCCCAAAGAGTTGCAACTGGTCTAGTTGGTATAATGATACTAATACAGCTTACTCCCTCTCAAAGTAGACACGGATTATGTCCGGAATGGTAATGAAAGATTAGCATCTAAATTACTCAGATTAGAGAAAACAGTAACACTAAAAATTGAGGGTTAAGAGGGAACTAATCTGTTTTGTTCCTTGATTATTTCTAATGTAATGATTAAAAGGTGAAAAAGTCGAGTGATACCAACGCTGAAATTTACCGTTTTGTAATGAATGACAATTGGCATACTCGAGGATCAAGAAAGAACAATCCAATGGAAGTGAAGGTCCGGCACCAATCAAATGTATGATATTTTCATGTTCAAGTTGAGCAATAAGTGATAATTCTTTTTGGGCTAGAGGCTTGTGCTTCTCATGAAAGAATTTAACTACAACGTTTTTTCCCTCCCAAACTCCAAGATAAACATTGGAGAATGAAGTGGTTGCCAAAGTAAACTGAACAAACAAGTTAAATGGGAAACGAAAAGTAACTACCTTATCTTCAAGAATTTTTCTCACAAGTTCGTTATTTACACTAATAAGTGATTTACAACAAGAATTGTTGGTCATACTTCATCCGAATATCCATGAGAAGTTTGAAAAAAGCCTGAAATGTGTAAAGGTTAAAGTTTTTAAAGCTGAGTATATCAGACAAATAAATTCTATGCTTGTGGCTACCTGAAAACAGGATTAACACGTTGGAGGATATTACGAATTTTTTTTAACCTTTCATCGTTTAAGCAACTCTGGTAGTAGTTTTTAAACCTGTAAACTTTATATGGATACCTCACAGTGGAGTTTTATCCTGTTCATTAGAATTCCATTAGGAAAACAACCAACTTTTAAGAATTTTCGCACTATTTCGAGACATTTTTAACTCAGGAGCTTCTTCTAGACCCAAATACAAAGTCAACAAACCGTCTGCCCACGGTGGGCTTTGATCAAGACTACTATGCTTCTGTGAGTGTCCGGTCTTCTTTTAAATGAGTCAATTGAAGGGGAGGATACCAGTGCCTTGGATAACAGGTCCCAAGAATTGATGACTCAGTGTGAGAAAAGGAATAACACAGGCCGTAAGCCTTCTGTTCTTACTACAGAAATCTGAGATTTTTACATTAGCGTATAGTAGCATCGGGAACTCAACTATACTTGGGAGTTCATTTACATACATTTAAAAAGTAAAGGACCTAAGATAGCATTACTGTACTCCAACAAGTACCGGTTTCCAGGAAGAGCATTTGGAATCTATTCTTACTTTCTGCTTACGACCTTCCACGAAATCCTAAATTTACTTTAGATTTTCCAGCTTTGAGAATAGTCTATTATTCATCTACCTTATCAAATGCCTTACTGAAGTCTGTGTAGAAAACATTCACCGATTTCCCATTGTTTGGAGCCTTTGTCCATTCCTTTCATATTGTAAGAAGGTGCAAAATAATCCATTCCTGAATCCATGTTTACTGTTTAACAAATTATTGGTTTCCATGTATGTTATGATTATTTCTTCCAGTATTTCACTAAGACACTTGCGAGAGAGACAGTCTGTAGTTTGATGAAAGTTGTCTTGGTCCTGTTCTATGTATTGGAGTGACGATTGCATCCTTCCAGTCCGTATGTAACACCCCTTGATCAAGTGATATATTGAATATCACAGTCAGTGGGGCTGCAATATATTGTGCAGTTTGTCTCAAGATTTTGGGGTGTCAAAGTGCTAAGAGCCTTAAGTACATCGTTTTGATCAAAGTCCACAGTGAATAGACGGTTTTCCGACTTTGTCTTCGGGTATAGTTCTTCGTTTAGAAGAGGCTCCTGAGTTAAAAAGTTCCCTGAAATCGTTTGCCATGACCTCTGCTTTACCGTGATCATCCTCTATGGTTTCAGATCCACTCCCTTCCGTAATTAGTTTGGGAATCCAGTGCTGCGTCCTTAGACTGCTTGGTTACAGATTGAGCTAACTGGATTTCATATTTTCTCTGAGCTTCGATGATTGTAGTTATACACTTATTTCTCACTGACCTGTAGCGTTCTATCGTACTTGTTGTACCAAAGGTGTTGGCAACTTTCCAGCATTACTTCTTTTGTCTTGGTAAACGTTGAATATTCCGGCCTATCCAGGGTATATATGGTTGAGTTACCTGATTGTATAACTGCCTGAAATGAGTCCATGTCTCTTCTACTGATGCCCCTGAGTCAATTATCCAGTTTTCAGCCGATGCTACATAGTTGATTGCCTTCATGTCTACCCTCCATATGTTAGGACGGGCCGGCGCAACTGTTTGACAGGACATCTCAGCCATGAACTTGAAAAAGATGACTGCGTGACTACTTCTCCCAAGAAGGGGGAGGAAAGTTATTTGACTGACATTATCATTGTGTGTGAAGATTAAATCCAGGAGAGAAGAGGAGTTTCGTAAATCGTATCTGGTAGGACCTCTAATGTGCTGGAATAAAGCTAGGACAATTATGGTTTCTAACAATTTCTAATCAAATGATGTTATTGACGATCTTACTTGTAAGTTTTCCCAGTTTATATAAGGTGCATTAAAGTCGCCTACTATATGGCTTTCACATTTAATAAACGAAGACTTGAGTTTGCTTGGAAGGAAGTAATCTACTACACATTCTGGACTGCGGTATACTACAACTAATTCTATATCTTGCCGTTTATATTTCAGCATGCAGCGCACCAGTCCACATGTCCGTGAATCATATGACACTGTCTCGACCCCACCTCCTACGGTTTAGCCTATCAGATCTATTGGATAAAAAACCAATCAACTGAATCCCGCTATCACACACTTCTGACGTTAACCATGTTTCTGAGGCAGCTATGACATCCGGGTTTTCTATATCCACCATTGTCTTGAGATCCACCATTTTATTTTGTGTGCTGATAGCATTTGTGTGGCACACCTTTAATTCCGTGAAGAACTTTACCTTACCACCCAGAGTGCTTTGATGATGGTTTAGCTCCGAACTTTTACAATTTGAAAACCCTTAAGTACAACGTTTTTCCACCGTTTCGACGGCGCTCATTTATTCCTACTTCTGCCGATCGTCCCTTAATACGGTCAACCAGGCCGATATCATTACAGATGTATATTTCGGATCCAACCAGTCTGCGTTAGTTTCCCAGTATTAGGTTTCTTTCTTCAGCCGAAGCAAAGGTAACCATTAGGCGGTTTTTCTGAATACTTTCAGAATCTACTTTTTGTCCTATGCTATAAAGCTTACAGATGGTAACTCCTTATGCTATTTATGGGGGTAGCTTGCTTATTAAGAACTTAGTGTGGCTGAGGTTGTGCTCAAATCTAGCCTTTGGTTCCTTTTTGGCTAGAAATAACAGATGTAGATGAATGTGTACTTCATAGGGACTTATATGTTTTAATTAGCTAGTCCTAAAAAGTAACTGATGACTATCAACGTGACCAAGTGTTTCTACAGGGACATTGAATGGGGAAAAATTAAGGTAAACAGACATAACATTAGAGGAGTCAGTGCCTGTAGTCTGGTCTCATAAGGATCCTGGGGTGACAGTGAGTCACGATCTTAAGACCACGGCCCACTGCCGTGTGGTCGCAGTTAAGCTTCTTAAAAACCTACGGCCTTTAGGACGAACGTTTATTAAGTTAGATACCAATATGTTCACTACAGTACACATAACAGTGAGATCCAGACATGAAAACTGTGTTCAGGCTGCAGGCCACTGTGACTCGGATATCTTGGAAAAAGTAGAGGGCAGCTACCCGTGTAATACAAAGACCAAGAACGAACAAGATGCCCGTGGCATACAGGTTCTCACACCGAGTAATCAATTCTTGAACCTGCTACCCGAAGTAGTGATATCCTTCCCTTCATTTGACTCATACAAGAGAAGACTAGACACTCACAGAAGCATAGTAGAAAAGAAATAACACAAGCCGTAAGCCTTCTTTCGTCAATACACAAATCTGAACAATGGTTTATGTGTCATATTCCCAAAAGCACCTAAACCTTATCGCCCCATTTTGAGGAAAATCCTGTCCGTTTAGGGAGAATTTCAGGGAAGCCGCTATAGAAAACTTTGGGGAAATGTCGAAAAACCCCAAAATGTTTGGGGATATTTTGCGTTTTCCCCAGGATTTTATAACACGTTGGGGTTTTTCCCCAAACTTTGAGGAAAATTTCTTACGGCTTTGAGGAAAACCTCAAAATAGGGAGATTAGGACATATTATTGTCACGTATGAACACATAGATAACCTATGCTAGTGGAAGTGTAGCGATTTGCGTCTAGCCAGAAAGTACTTTGTGTACCAGGAAAGTATGCAGAACAAAGTAAGTGGGGACTGGAAATGAGAGTAACGTAAGTAAAGGTGAGACGACGACCCAGCTACCGCACATGATACATTTACATTTATTAAAGAAAGCAAAAAACAACAATAAGATTACGACAGTCTAGGAAGAGAAACTAGAAGCACATAGTTTAATCCGCTATGGTAGCGATGCAATGTCGTTCTCCATTGATGGAGGTTACCGAGTTCTTGAAGGTCAAACCGTCGTAAACCGATTGGTGCCACATGGAGTGCATTATATGTTCCCGCCATTTATCTTAACAACCAATCAGATACATGCTACAATGGCGCGACCTTAGTCATCTACTGCATCACTTTGTAGCAATTTGGATGTCGTGTCTCGTTCTGAGTTTTGTTTTGCTGGGCATGCAGTTTCGTTTGAATTGTGTTGTTTGAAATAGCCTGAAAATTCTTCTTCTAAATACTTTTGTATTATTCCTTTTAATGCATGTGATCTGGATTAAATTCTTCATGGATTATCGAGAAATTGTTGCGGAGTTATGGTGGTCTCCGTTGAAGAGCCTGTCCATTTCCGGTCAAAGATTATTGTTAAATAAGCTAAACGTACCTGGGACCACGGCACCGAGACGCTTCAAGTGTTTTAATTCGTCGGCTCCAGGCGAATTCTAGAATGCAAAACCCGAAAACGCCGTCAAAGTAAAGTGTATTCTAAAATATCCAAGCCACAAACAGCTAAAGTAAAGGTAACTTTTAACAAAGCTGGCTCCCACAACCGTAGAAAGTATGTTTCTCACAAGATTAATGGGTATGATGACCGCCTACAGTTGGGTACAGCCTCTGATATAAAGCTTATAAGCAGGAGAACGTGGGATAAAATTGGGAGGCCGATAATATATTCAACTGATCAATCAGCACAGAGTGCATCCGGGGGAATTCTAAACATTGCTGCTGAAATTCATTGTGAAGTCACAGTCAAAGAGTCCACGTAGAAGGGTGTAATATTTCTGACAGACCGTCCATCACTCGACTTATTGGGGCTTGAATGGATAGAAAGGTTGAAGTCAACAGACCGCCTCATAAACTCAATCTTCGACAACGTCAGTACGTCAAAAGTTGATGAGAAAAACTCAGTGGAAACATTATTAAAACGAAATAAAGTGGTATTTAGTGATGATCTTGAAAAATGCACTAAATTTAAAGCTGCTCTTACCCTTTGACAGGGATCAAAACCAGTATTTCGCCCTAAAAGACCCGTACCATGTGCTGCCCTCGTAGTGGTTGAACAAGAGCAAGAATGACTTCGGAAACTGGGTGTCACTGATTCGGTGAATTTCTCAGAATGGGCCGCACCGATAGTAGTAGTAGCAGTAAAGAAGACTAATGGTAGCGTCCGTTTATGTGCCGATCATTCAACTGGGTTGAATGAAGCCTTAGAAACTCATCAGTATCCATTACCCCTACCTGAAGATCTTTTTGTTAAATTGAATGGAGGTAAGGATTTTGCGAAGTTGGATTTGTCCGAAGCTTGTTTACAAATCCCTGTTGCTGACGAGTGTAAAAATCCGCTCACCATAAACACACACAAGGGCATATTCTGGTATAATCGACTACTCCTCGGAGTCAAGACGGCCCCATCTACATTTCAGAAAATATTGAATACTATAATACAGGATGTTCCAGGTGCTGCACCTTATCTGGATAATATAATAATTATGGGAGTAGATAGAATAGACTTAGAAAAGAAGCTCGACCAGGTGCGGTAGCGAATAGCCGAATAGAGACTTCGGCTTCATCCAGAGAAATGTAACTTTTGTATTCAAAAATTACTCTACCTCGGATTTATAATCGACAAAGATGGTAGACCAGATCCAGAGAATACCCGTGCAGTGTAAATTTTGCCCAGACCGACGGACGTCCCCACACCACGATCCTTTTTGGGACTGGTTAGTCATTAGTGAGCTTTTTTTCCGAACCTTCATCAACTACGTGCCCCCTTGAATAACCTTCTGGCGAAGAATGTAAAATGGAATTAGTCTGCAAATTGCGAAGCTGCTTTCGATGGAATCAAGAAAGTACTAGTATTGGATCTGCTGCCCACCCATTAAGATCCATCTTTACACATTGCAATAGCATCAGACGCTTCAAACTAGGGCATTTGAGCAATTATTTCACGCGCCATGCCAGATGGATCTGAGAAAGCCATATCGCATGCGGCTAGGTCATTAACGTCAGCAGAACGTAACTACAGTCAGATCGAGAAGGAAGCATTGTCAATTATCTTCGCTGTATAGAAATTTCACAAGATGATATTTGGACGTCAGTTCACTTTATTAACTAACCATAAACCATTAGTAGCCATTTTTAGGTCGAAGAAGGGCATACCTGTATACACGGCAAACAGACTGCAACTTTTGGGAATTACACTCTTGGCTTATGACTTCAAGATGAAGTACCAGCCCACTACTGATTTTCGACAAGCTGACGTTTTATCTAGATTGATTGGTTCACAAGTAAAACAAGAAGAAAACACTTTCGTGGGAGAAATCGAAACGAAACAGAAGTACATCGAGTATTGGAAGACGCAGTCTATGGTTTATCAGTTACGTCAAAAGCCATTAAATAAGCCACAAAATGTGACAAGATTTTGAGAGAAGTTAGTGGTCGTCTTCTCATCAAGTGGCCGGACCGTCGTTTCCAGGGCGAAAAGCTAAATATTTTTGTCGACGGGACTGACTCATGATGGTTGATTCATGTATTATGTTTGGTGACAGAATTGTTGTTCCAAAAACATTACGCTAAAAGGTTCTGAGACAATTCCACAGCGGTTATTATCGTAAATGTTATTTTGCATACGTGTATTTACCATACTCTTACATTTGTTGTTGTTGTTATTTTAACCAGTGTTACCTCCGAACACTCTGGCGGAGCTATGTGGAGATATGCATGACAAGCTTATTTTGTAAGTAGTTTTTGATGTTATTTGTATTTATTCTGTTAGTTTTTCATAGCATGTACATTTACCACTAAATGATTGTACGAGTTGTTTAAGTGGATGACCTTGAACACACTTTCTTCCGTCGTATTACACTCATAGCATGACACACGCTGTTACCTACTAACAAATACACTGCTATATATATATATATATATATATATATATATATATATATATATATATATATATATATATATATACCTCTTGTTCACCATTTGCTCGTGGTTGGGTTAACTGAACTGTAAACCAACTACCGTCTACATTTATAGACTACAACCAAATTATACCATATTCTACATTTGGTTATATCACTGGAAGGACATCAATCTCACTGGAATCTTCAATCATATATAATTGTGGAGTTTTGGTGCCAAACTCAACCGTAACATGCACAAACCTGTTGAATTAAGTAACATCTCTAATTTTTGTTGTGTTTATAACGTTTAACTGATATATACTAACATTACAGTTTGTACTTAATAACTCTGTTATCATTTTTGAGTTCATATATCATTTGGTACACCACAGATGTAACAAAGTAACAGAATTAATTACGCGGTGGCCTGAAACATCTTTTAGATCCATGGTATTAAATCGGACAAATCAGAAGGTGGAAATTATCTGTTGTGAACGTGTCCTTGGATTAAATGTCAACATACCATGGTGCACGAAATTGAGGTTGACTCTTTATCACAAACAATACTCATCACAGTATGTTGAAACGTGACTTTGTGATAATTCTTGAAGAAGTGCCTTCATCTGAAGGTATGTCCAATGAAAGTAGAAGGCTCGATATCAATGTTCGAAACTTTCAAAGACCCCGGTTACAATCGTTTTGTAATGATACAAAATCAATGATAATCTGTTGTTCTATGGTATTCTGCATGACAATCGTAGCTAGAAAATATGAAGATGTAGAATCATGTCACGTTTGCTGAAAACGTCTTCATCAATCCACAGCAATGTGTACTGAAAACAAGTCTGTCTACAACTTGTCATTCTGACTTCTGTAATCAAATTATTTATTACTACAGCACTTATAACTTCGTACTTTGGTTTACATAGAGTATTGAGCAAAATATCTGGTGGCATACTGAATGAGAACCCATGTTCTAATAGGCCAAGTGAAGTGTCACCGGGCCTTGAGCACCACTCGTCAGTTGAGTCACAGAGTTTCAAACAGTCTACCGGTCCTTGTCGAGGTCAAGAACAACCAATGTGCATCTCATAATTGCACGCAAGGGACTGGCCTATGCGACAGAAAACAAACCCTGCTTCTTTTACCTATTTTTAATAATTTATTACCTTAATATAGTCATATTCAATCGATTCTGTCATCAAACAAGCCATAGTACCTGAGCACAGAGAAAAAGTAGTCAACATAAGGGGTGGGTTTGGCGTTGAATTGTTTATCACACTGTTGATGTCCTGCTCGATTAGGCCTCCGAAAATCGACGAAAGATGTAATGGCAATGAGCCTTAACCACACAATCCTCAAAGCTGAACACGAGACACTTGGAAAAATAGATGTTCAACATTTAACGCGGAGAAAAACCCAACGATGGATAGGGCGGGAACAATGAATTGGATTAATCCGAGTTGATCGTATGGCTTGGCTCGGCCTTGCCGGAGTGCTACCTTGGATCTTCTATTCGTATTAAATATATCGTTCTATCTCTAGCCTAAGCCTGTTCTTCACCATGTTTTGGTGATCGTTACATAAGTGTTGTGAAGAAACCATTTAGGGTTTCTTCAAAAATGCAATAATACACAAGTTTCAAGAATATTAGCATTATATTTACCATATGTGAAAGAGATTGTTATAATAATAGAATGATAATAATGATAAATCAAGTTCTGTGTAATTGAGAAGAATATTGAATAAAGTTTAAAGAAGGAAATGGAGAAAATAATGGAATAAAAATAAAGGAGATGTGAAATACGCAAATAGGTTAATAGACGTTTTAGTAACAAAAATAAAATAGAACAACATATATAAGCGAACAATATTGTTTTCGATTAGATCCTCATCAGGCTTTACTCTAATATACAAAAATATTTATATGCGTATACAAAATTAATAAACCAATCAAGGTAGTTTATAAGTCAATGATAACAATGAAAACGATTACATGATAAGTAAAATGTGAAAAGTACGAATTGATAGTGTGACAACAGGTGCAATAATTTTGATAAAAATTATAAAGGTTCAAATCAATGTTACATAATCTGAAATAGGTCAATGATTGGAAATATATAGAAACTGAGATAACAATTATAAAATTATGAGATGACG